ACTACAGGCACTCAGTTTAAAAAAAATATTTTCTTTTGCATTATAAGTAGTCCCAACAATTCCATTTCTGGGAATGTATCCTAAGGAAATAATCATGAATTTACAGGAAATTGGCTAAACAGATGTTCACTTCAGCTGTTTCAGAGTAAAATATTAGTAGCTAGCAATAACTGGAGATTGGATAAATTCATTATGATACAGCATTTTGAAAAAAGATACACATTCAGTATGAATTCACTATGATACAGCAGTTTTTAAAAAGACACACATCCATTACAAAGATGGAAGTTTGGTATTTAATGCTATTATGCTAAGTGGAGGAAGCAGATTGTAAAACGGGATGCACAGTGTGGTCCCCTTTCCCTGAAGCAGCTGAGCAGATGGCTATCTAGGAGAACCCCCAGGGGCCAGGGAGAGAGGGGCTGTTCGCCCTGTGGCATCTGCACCTTGCTGGATTGGGGGTCCTCTTTTAGAGCAGACTCCCTGGGGGCTCTCTCTGGGCCATTCCCTAAGCTGCCACCTGGGAGGCCCGGTGTCAGGGCCTTTTCAAGGGCCTTGCCAGCCCGTGTGTGCTCCCGGGACATCGAGGGTCATACCCCAAATGGCACTTCCTCAATGAGTGGACTCCATCACCCTCCTACCTCCCTACCTCCCTACCTCCCTACCTCCCTACCTCCCTACCTCCCAGTTGCCAGCTAGTGTAACACAGGGTTTACTCACTTACATATATGAGTCTAGTCCCCAATTCTGCCAGTGTGCCTGGCATTTCCTGAGCTCTTACTCTGTGCCACGTACCTTGCGGAGCATGGTATGTGCACTGGCTTCTTGGTGGCACCAGCCCCATGAGGCCAGCCCCTTGGAAGAGGGGCAAACCAGGAGGAGGGGCAGACCTGCATGGGGCCTGGCTGAGCTGGATCTGTAGCCATTGCCCCCAGGGCCCCTCACTGCAGTGTGGTGTGTCTGGGTCAGGGCGGGGTGCCGACCTGGGGACCCTGGTGCAGTGCTTGCTGAACTAGGGGACAGAATCAAAGTACTTACACTCCTTATCCAGGGATGTGGAGCCTGGAGGTGGTTTTTGGTTTCTTTTTCCTTTTTTTCTATTTGCATGAGAATGTGTTTGGCCTCAGGTCACAGAAAGTCCCAGACAAAGTGGCCTCAGCAGGACTGTTATCTCCTAGTGAGGCTGGGGCAGAATGTGGGAGAACCCTGGTTCTTCTTCCATTCCTGCTCTGTGGCCCTCACAGTGGTGGCTTGACCCCCCCACATTGCAGAGCGCCATCACCATTCAAGGTCGTCACTCAGGTGTGACAGCTGGCGGAACAGGGGGACTTGTCCCTCACTGAGGTCCCCGAGCTGCCATATCAAAGACCCTCTGAAGCATGTGTGTGGAAACAGAGCACAAGTTGTCCTCAGCTGAAGTCAAGTCAGAGAAGGTTTTCTTGGTCCTCAGAGTGGTCATTCTGTAATGACCTTGTGGCTCTTCCTGCCTTGTGGTTTTGCTCCTGTCACCCTCATCCAGCCCAGAGCGGGGCAAGCTGGGGGCCACGTGGGCTCTTCTGCTCCAGCTCCCTTGGCCTCTGTCCCATGTGCTGAGGCCTCAAGGCCTCAGGGGAGATGGAGAAGAAGCAGACGGGGTTTGTGATGGGCTGTTTCTGTGAAGCCTTCCTAGTTTCATTTTTGGAGTGAAGACACCTCACCTGGTAGTTTTTCAGAAGTGTTTCCTTCCTGTCCCTTCATGCCTGACCAGGTGCAGCAGGAAGGATGGGACCATCCTTGGGGTTTAGATTAATCTTAAGGCACCTTTGGGCTGAGCTGCGCCTGGTGCCTTGGCCCCTGGGGGCCAAGCCCACTCCTCTTAGAAGTCAGGACGGGGTGACTGGTTATTTACCAACAGTGTCTTATATGCGGCTGTTCTGGATTTGTAAATTGCCTAGGCAAGTAACACTTGAGTAATTTAATGTCTTAAAGGAACCTTTATGCATCATCCATCTAGTAAAGATTTCAGAAATACTGTAAATAGGACAGAGAAGCACCTTCTGAGGACCCACTAAACCCAGTGTTGCGAGTCCCCCTTTGATCCATCAATCAGAGCGTCATCATCCGATGGATTCACATGTCTGTCCATAGAATTGTCTGCTCATAACTCCCAGAAGCTCTGGCTAATGCTAACACCATGGAATCCACAGAATCCATCAGTAGGACCTGGACCAACCTCCATCCTGAGGAAAAGTCAGTGCCCCATGGCAGGTTCTGTGGGAGCCTCTCCACACTCCATCACGGCCTTGCTCTGTGAGGTGGAGCATCCACAGGCTGCTCTCTTCAACCCTGACGTGTGCAGGGCACCTGGGTGGAGGTGGCGCTGGGCAAGGCAGAGCTACCCAGTCTTGTTTTGTGGCTCCAGGGGATAACCTGTACCTGGCCTTGCCCCAGGAGAACACTGGAGTGCAGCCTGGGGGAAGGGCGACAGTCACCATGCCTCAGGTCATCCTACAGTGTGTCTCATACTGTTAGGACAGATGCCACATAGGGAGGCAGGTGAGATCAGGGTCCGTGGTGCTGAAGTGCAGGAGTGTCCTCGGAGACCACTTGTATTGTGACTGGGCATGTACATGCCATTCTCAGGCACTGCCTCTGAGCCACTGTCCCTCCTTTACATTTTTCCTCTGTTCTAGGTTTAGGGTGTGCTTTGCAGAGTATTCAGTGTTTTCCCAGGAAGCCAGAATAGGCAAAACCTGGAGGTCAGTGTTTTATTTTCAGACTCGGTAGTGCATTTCCTTGACTCCTAGATCTCTTTGTCATGTTTATCCCACTTTTGGAAGCTCATCTTCTTTATCTTCCCAGCCTTCCCTATTTAACAGAGCCCTTGTCCATTTTACCTTGCTTGCTTTAGTTGTCTGTCCTTGAACCTTCTCCAGCCTTGCCTTTATGAAACATGTGACTAGAACTGCACGTGTTACCCTGGGGGTCAGGAAGCACCAGGATTTTTACAGATAGGATGATGCTTTCTGACTTATTCCAAATATCTCTTTTGATGAGGACTAGCATTTTGTTGATGTTTTGGAGGCTGTCATATTTCTTCAGTTAGCCTTAGAGAGAGGTGAGTTATTCACTTTTAATCATCTGACTTGCTGAGCTCCAGCAAATGGGTCATTACTGTTACCATGTTGGAGGTGTAGCAGAGATCGATGCTGGCAGTGGTTACAGGTCTCTGTACTGCCCAGTAAGTGGGTTTAGCTGAATCAGAGACCCTCCTGTCCCCAGTGTGACTTGTGAGTTGCCCTGTTGTGGTTTCTGTAGAACTAGACTTAGGTAGTACGATATACTTGGATTGAGAATCTGTCTTACAGGTTACCAGTTATAAACTAAAGACCAACAGTGATCAACTGGCTTTTATATGAAAGAAGACACATTTGATGGATTGATGTTCTAATGGCAGAAACAGAACTTTTGCCTGGGTCAGGCCAGATTTAGGCAAAGCTTAGCATTTCTGTTATTGGTGATACTGACCCTCCAACTGCTGCCTTGAGTCTGTCTTACTGTCTGTCAGATGTTTGTCATAATTAGAAGGCATCTCATAAACTTACCCTGTGTAGCATGTTTGCAGATACTCCGTTAAGATTTATTATTCTTTGGCATATTTGCATTTTAATGCTAGTCCAAGAAATAATCAAAGTGACAACTCCCTGGTGCTGGAATGATTTTGGAGAGTTGGATGGGAGAAGTAGGCACACACCCTTCTGCTTCCTCGTGAGGCTGGTTCTACTATGTGGACAGTCAGATTTGTTAAAGTAACAGATATTTTGAAGCTTTGCTGTCATAACCTCACACACTAATTTTTTTCTAGAGTTACTTTTTTACAATTGAAGTATAGTCAGTTAGTGTGTAAGTGTCTGGTGTATAGCATGTCTCAGTCATGCATATATATATACATACATTGATTTTCATATTGTTTTCCATTAAAGGTTACTACAAGGTATTGAATATAGACCCCATGCTATACGGAAAAATTTGTTTTTTAATCTATTTTTAACATTTGCAAATCTCAAACTCCCAAATTTACTAAATTTGTCCAAATTAGCCACTGTAGCTCAACTCGCTTGTTGTGAGGATGAGTCCAGTGATCCACTGAGGTTTTCTCTGAAACTCAGCCTGGTCGAGTGGACAGTGCTCAGTGGGAAACATCTGGACTGTGCTAGTGCACCCAGCCCTCCGCTTGTGCACCCACTGTGGGCAGCCTGCCTTTTTATGTGATTTTAATTAGCATGGCATGTACAACTGAATTCAGTATACTGTTAACAAAGCATCCAGATTTTTTTTCTACATGATAGCTAGATGGCTTTAAGCAGTGAATTAAAAACAAAAACAAAAATAAAAACCTTCAAACTCCATAATCAGACAATATTGAAAATGTTTCATTCTGGCAGGCTGGAGTCAGGGAGAGGACTGGGAATCCCTGCCTGAGTGTGGCCTGGCAGGGGGTCCTGTCACATAGTCTACACAGCTAATGCTGGTCAGGGAGCAGTTATGGAGGTGGGAAATCCAAAAGCTTTAGATCTTTTGCTGAATTATTTTACTGTGTTTTTAAAGCAAGTAAAAACCATCCGTTAAAAGGTGAGAATAATACTGAATGGCCTCTACTATTATGCAGACCTTTGCTGTCTTTTCAAGGTCACTTGCAGCTCACTTAGGACTAATGCCTTTTTGGAGAAGAGATCTGAGACGAGTTTTGGATGCAATTTTGCAGTGCTGGCCACTTGCCAGTTGAAATATCTTTTTAAGGTCATCAGTTTAAGGCTTAAAGTCCTTTTTATGATTTAGGGGCATAGTTTACATTTAAAATGATACCCTATGATGTATTTTAAACTTTCATGGTGGGGTGTGTTTCCAGATCTTGACAAAGGTCTCAGAGAAGGAGCTTTTTCTAACGGATGAGTGACTTGGAGAGGGCAAAGCCAACACTTACCCCTGTTCTACTCCAGACCAGGATAGGCTTATGACAAAACATTGTCCTGCAGAAGCTGAAGCCCAGTGCCCCTTACACCATCACCCTGTCCACCCTGCATCCTGATGGGGAAGGAGGTCAGATGATGGGGAGAGGCAACACCAGTTTAAGTGAACCTGGACTCCTGTGGCTGTTTTAGTAATCATCATGGGGATGGAATCACATATTCTGCTGGAAACACTGGAGTGACAGTTTTACTAAACTTTTAAAATGCTTGTTAATAATGCTCTTCATTCTGTTTTATTTTAATTTTTTGTCTCTTTTGGAGGTGGGGAGCAATTAGGTTTTATTTATTTATTTTTTAATGGAGGTACTGGGGATTGAACCCAGGACCTTGTGCACACTAAGCATAGACTCTACCCCTGAGCTATACCCTCCCCACAAAGATCTTAATTGTTTAGTATCCTTCCTGGAGTTACCTGTCTCTGGTCTTGTGTTCTAGGATAACACCAAGAAACAAACTATGCTCTGGGGCCAAAATATTTTGTGGAGGGATGAGACATGACCCAGATGATCACAGATATTTTTTCCTTAATTTTTTTAATTTTAATTTTAATTTTTTTTTTTTTGAGTGGAGGTAGATTTATTCAGAGAGATACATCGAAAGAGAAGAGAAAGGCACAAGGTGTGGGGGCTGGGTGCTCAGATTAAAAGTAGGTACGCATTCCATAGACAGAGTGTGGGCCCTCTCTGAAGAGAGAGAGGGGGGCAGCTGAGAGGCGCTGTGTTGCTGGTTTTTATGGGCTTTGTGGCTTCACATGCTAATAAGTAGAAGGACCAGTCTAAGGGGATGGGGCTGGGATTCCCAGAAAGTTGGCCATTTCCCACCCTTTGACTTTTTGTGGCTAGCCTTGGGACTGCCATGGTGCCTGTGGGCGTGTTATTCACCATGTTAATATGTTACAGTGGGCAGTGGGCATATAGTGTAGCTCAAGATCTACCAAAAATTAAATCTCTTATCATCCTGAGCCTCAAGGCCTACTGGGGGTTGAATCTTCCACTATTTTGATGTTAATTGCTGTGGCATTCCTTGAATGGCTGTGCTCTGCCCCCTTCCTGTCCCATTCCCCCCGCAGAGATTTTGCTCCCATAATCTTATGGGGTTGCAGAGGGGTGAAGGTCCGGCTTCTGAAACTGATTCTAGGCTGAGTAGGGGTGTTGACCCTGCCTATCAGGGAGTAAAAGTCTCTGAATGCCTGATCTAGGGGCCCCAAGGGCAGGACAGCCTTTTGTTTTTGTGTCCAAGGGCTGAGGGTGTGGGCTGGAATCCTCACATAGCCATCATCTGACATTTTTTCCTTTATTCACTACTTCAACAGGTATTTGAATATTTCAGGTATTTCAACAGGTGGGATGCCTACTAAAGGGATCCTGTGTTCTAGGGTTCCTGGGACCCTCAGTAAACCTGGGCTTCATGTGTGCTGGGTTGTTAGCTTCACATGTGATGTGCTTTCTGTACATTTGAGAATCTTTGAATACCATGAGGAAACTCAGCGCATGACCCTTCCACTAGCACTTTGAATTCCTCAGTACAATCTGTTCTGTGCACCAACAGCGGGTGGTGCAGAGGAGCTGGTCATGATTTCCTGTAGGGAAAAGTGAATGTTAGTTTCAACTGTAGATTGCAAAGTGGAGATCAAGAGTTAACCAATTCACCACAGAGTTGAAGGAGTTCATGTTCCTTCAGGAGAACTTGACGGAGGATAGTCGGTTGGTGACTTTAAAGCCTGGGTGATGGGGGCTTCTGGGGGATTGGGACTGGGGGAATTGAATCATACCAGGGACTTTTCAAGAAGGAGCTAGGGCATGTGTGGAGAAGTCTTCATGAACTTTTACAATAGTTTGTATGGGGGCACATCCTTAAGTCCCAATATGATAGAACCTGCTTCTTGACTTGGTCTTGAGTTAATATTTTGAGTATTTTATTGTTCAAAGTGTTATTTTTTGTACAGGGTTTTCAAATCAAGTACTTTACATTTTATTAAATCTTTAGGTGCCAATCCCTGGGAATACCAATTATGCCATTCTGAGGAATCTGTAGCCAGATACCCCATACACCATTACGGTGGTTCTCGTTTATCCTGAGGGTGATGGAGGGTGTACATCATACACTGGAAGGACATGGAAGTAAGAAGGCAGAAAAATTTTGATTTTCATGATGCATTTTGCTTTTTAGAATAGTGTAAAGTTTAAAATATAAAGAAAATTTGGGAAATTCATAATGATGGAATAAAAATGTAACAATTACACATAGTTTATCTCACAACCTCCAGCAATTGTTAATAAATAAAATCTGAAATAAAATGTATCATGATATTCTTCTGAAATGATAACTTCAGGATTTATAAGTGTGTGTACAGTTGTCAGTATTCTCTGTCACTGACAACAGTTCATGAGCTTTGCTTTCTGCTTGATAAATTTGTGTGAAGCAGTGTTTTGTCACTGGCTTTCAGTGTCAGTTGTTGTAATCTGTTGGTCATGTTACTTAATAGCACATTTCTCAAGGCTTTTGATGCATACCTCTAAATATTCTTTTGGCTTAAAAATATACATGCTGATGGCTAAAAGAAAGCAAGTATGGATGACTTTTTTTGGTGGAAGATTAGTGATCTAGAAAAATGATGTTATTGGCTAAACTGGAGTTTGGGGTTAATACATGGATTTAATTTGCATGTCTTTCTAAGTCCCTGTTGGGGCAGTTAATTGAGAACTGAGTGTATCTTTGATTTCTCCCTATGTTTGCCTTTTCTTTGAATCACAGAAGACATTCAGTGTCTATTGTTGAATGAGAAGAAATCAATGATTGAAACCAGCTAACCTAGCTGCCTGGATTAGATGGGCATCCTCAGTGTTGTCAGTTCTCATTTAGAGGCAGAGATGATAGAATCCTCTTGTCTGTCTCTCCTGACCTGTGCTGGAAAACTGAAGCTGCTTTTCCAGTTTCTTGCTCTTGCCCCTTGTCCTTTTGTGGCCAACCCAGTGCTACTGCTTTTACTCCCTTGTTTTTATTGGCACCAACTTAGCTTCCATAAAGACCAAGGCCCTAGTTGGCTAAGTTTGGCTAAGTGTGGATTTGGAGAGTTTTCACCTGCTTTTGTTTTCAAAGTTTAAGGAAGTCAGTATTTCTCCTACTACAGAGCAGAAGCTCGGGGGAAGTGATAGCTCAACATGTGTGAGTAGACATATGAAATATGTGTTGGCTTTTCTTTTCTCAGTGGTGAGAGGACTGGCCAGAAATGTCCAACTGTACAATCCGATGCCAAACAGCTGGGACGTTGGCTGGACCCCGCCCCTGGCCGGTGCAGCAGCTCCCCTGGCTGGCACGAGGCCCCTGGAACCTGTAAGTACTGTTGTCAGCTTAGAGCTGGCAGAAGAATTTTGTAGATTTTATGGCACCTTCTGCTGTAGTTGCTGGTGCAGGGCAGTAGATGAGTTGGTGTGGCCCTGGGTCACATGCACACTCATTTCCTGATGAATTTAGTCTCTTGTTTGTGTTGTGCTTGGCAGCCTGTGAGAATGCAGACCACAAACATGCCCATGTACAGTGCTTAAGTGATTGCTTTTGATGAATTAAATCATAAGGGTATCAGCTGTAGGGTTAGTAAACAAAAAATGCATTTGGGGAAAATGTAAATGCTGTATGAGTTATAGTCTTAGCTATGTGAGTTAAAAAGAACCCCAGTAGTAAATGCAAATCATTCATAGGACTTGTCAGTATGGGCTTTTATTATAACACACGCATCTTTGTTAGGAACCTACCTGAAAGTCTGCCTTCATTGGCTCTTAACAGATTGCCAATCTACCTTAGTACGATTCCATTTTCTAAGTAGATTAATAACACAGAGAGCAGAAATTACTAATTTGAGTAGGGAGAGTATCAGAACACCTGAGGGAAAGTAAATTTATGAGACTTTACAGAAAGAAGCAGGGACCATGAACAAAGATAAACACAAGTTGAGCCTGTCCGAACGTTGATTTGCATCCTGTGTGTGGTAGGACGTGTTCAGACAACATTGCCTTTATCCATCGCATGGAGCAGCTATTTTAATAGAAAAACGTCTCCCCAAGAAGTGTATCTTACGTGTACACCTCTAACATTCGGGATGCTTTGGGGTCACTGTCGTAAGCCATGGATGTTGTATTTGAGAACCTTCCCCAGGAGCCTAAATGGGAGGTTGTTGAAGTTGCTAAGGGTCAAGTGTGAGCTCACACTTAATGGAGAGGGAATTTATGAGGGTAAATTACATCTAACGCTGTGGCCTGGGCAGATCTCACGAGGTAGCATAGAGGTTGGCTTCTGCTGTGTGTAGACTCAGCCCTTTACTATAAATGTTACTATGCTGACAAATAAAAGACTCGGTAAGCATTTGGGTTGTCGAAAGGCAGAATTTGTCAGGTCCTCCCCTCCAGATTGTGGTGCCAGGAAACACCAACAAGGGGTACTTACAGACACACCCTATTCCGGGAACATCTTTGCCCTCCACTTGGATGGAGGGGGCATCCCAGCCCCACCCAGGGTACCAACACATGGGGCTGAAATCCTTTCCACTCAGTTCCCTTGTGATTCAGTGAGGAAGACTGGACAGGTGGGTGGTGAGGGAGGGGTGCTGAGAGCTGCCTCCACCTTGCGCAGGTGAAGGGAGGCTTGGTGCCTACTTCTGCCCAAGTTCCCCATGTTCTTATTCAGGCTGAAGGCCCTCTGGGCTGAGTGGGGGTCATTGGGCCGTTTTCTCATCTGGGACCTTTGTTAAGGAGGTTCCTTCCCTTCTGCCCTGCAGTGGATCTTCTCACCAACTGGGCACTTTTGAAATGTGAGGGCTTGGCCTCTCTGTTTCATTCAACAGGAAGTGGTCAGAGTACTTGAAATCCTTTTCTCTCCCAGTCTGTACATTTAGGTTCCAACCTGGACTCTGTCCCTGAAAGATCACGTAACCATAGCTCTGAATGGAGCACTTTATTTTTAAACATTTTTTATTCAGTTATAGTCAGTTTACAGTGTCAATTTCCAGTGAAGAGCGTGATTTTTCAGTTATACATGAACATACATATATTCATTGTCACATTCTTTTTCACTGTGAGCTACGGCAAGATCTTGTATATATTCCCCTGTGCTATACAGTATAATCTTGTTTATCTATTCTGCATATGCCTGACAGTATCTACAAATTTCAAACTCCCAGTCTGTCCCTTCCCACCCTCCTCCCCTTTGGCAACCACAAGTTTGTATTCTATGTCTATGAGTCTGTTTCTGTTTTGTATGTATGTTCTTTTTTTTTTTTCCGGATTCCACATATGAGTGATCTCATATAGTATTTTTCTTTCTATTTCTGGCTCAGTTCATTTAGGATGACGTTCTCGAGGAGCATCCACATTGCTGCAAATGGTGTTATGTTGTCGTGTTTTATGGCTGAATGGTATTCCATTGTAGAAATACACCATATCCTCTTTATCCAATCATCTGTTGATGGACATTTAGGCTGTTTCCATGTCTTGTCTGTTGTAAATAGTGCTGCTATAAACACTGGGATGCAGGTGTCTTTTTGAAGTAGGGTTCCTTCTGGACATATGCCCAGGAGTGGGATTATTAGGTCATATGGTAAGTCTATTCCTAGTCTTTTGAGGAATCTCCAAACTGTTTTGCACAGTGGCTGCACCAAAGTGCATTCCCACCAGCAGTGTAGGGGGGTTCCCCTTTCTCCACAGCCTCTCCAGCATTTGTCATTTGTGGATTTTTGAATGATGGCCATACTGACTGGTGTGAAGTGATACCTCATTGTAGTTCTGATTTGCACTTCTCTGATGATTAGTGATATTGAGCATTTTTTCATACTTTCACCATATTCTGTTCATTAGGAGCAAGTCACTTAAGGTTGGCCCATATTCTACTTTTCTATGGAATTAGTTTTAACTTATGGATACATCAAAAAACCAGCATAATCTTACTAGCCACACTTTTTTATATTGCTTCCACATGAAAAATACACTTCTCCCTAGTCAATTCCTCCACAAGTTTCCATTGCTGTCATGTTAGGCTCAGGCTTGAGTCCAAGATCTTACCATCTTTATCAGATAAAGATGAGGATGAGGGTCCTGTGTGTGATTTCTAGAGTACAGCCCCTTGAGGACACTCTTCTCAGTACTGAGACTTGAGGACTAAGGAGACAGGTTATTTACCACCACACACCCAACATTCTGCTAAACTGCCAAAGACTCTCCCATTCACAGACGGAATATGGGAGGCACACTGACCCATAGCATTTCTGAAATACAGCCTGATGCTTGTTGCCAGCTGTTTGATTAAGACTTAGTCCTAACCATGGGTGGGAGTCTTTCGCTGTCCTCTCTGAGCTCTTTGTTCTGTCCTTTTCATAAGAAATTATACTGTATTTACAGCTGACTAAAATTTTTCTCAAGCCAGCTTCCTCCTTATATAACTTCTAAGAAAAACCCAAAGGCCCCTTCACATTTTGTACTGTCTTGGTCTCTTTCAGTCCAAGCTAGCAAGAAGTGTTTCTGCTACTACAGCTCTCTTTAAAACTTTGAGTTTCCTGTGAATTTTATTGGAGTTTTTGCTATTGGAAAAGCCATGCTCACCAGCCTTTTTGAGATAAGCTCTTCACCTTGGGCTTGCTGTGAAGCTGTGGTGGGATGATGTCTTTAAAATTCTTATGCTTTTAAGATCCTTAAAGGAATTTGAGGCAGCACCTTAAATCTTTCCAAGGTCTTAACAAAGCCTTGGCTTCATCTTTAGACCATGTTTTCCTGGCAGTGCCCTAAGTTTGGTCTTAGCCCAGAAGCCATTTCTCTATTTTACCATTATTTGACAGTTGGACATGTGGAGATGCTGTACATGTAATACAGATGTTTGAACCCAGTGAGTCCTGGTTCCTTTATATTTAATAATCTTTCTATTTTTTTGCTTATCTCATCAATTTTATTTTCAACTGTTTGGTAGAAAGAGTCCCATTTCCTCTGCTTTCAGTGTCATTTTCTTCCCTGGCCTAGAGGCCTTCACTCTCAGCCCCTTCAAGGACTCTCAGGCTTCCACTAACAGTCTCATAGAGCCCTTTGAGTTTTCATTCTTACTCTTCTCTATATCTGTTCAGGTTCCACATTCCTCTGAGTTCAAAGGCATCCCCACATGTTTGAGTTCTTTTTTAATGGCTGCACCACATTTTTAATATCAATATCTGTGCCAGTTATTTATTGCTAATAAATTATATAATAAACCTCCTCAAAATCTGGTGGCTCAAAACAGCATTTGCTTGGTTCACAAATCTGCATTTAATAAGCAAGGCTCAGTGGAGCCAGCTCATTTCTTCTCCATTTGGCATCAGCCAGGATGACTTGAAGGTGGACACTAAAATCTTCTAAAGGCTAGTTTGTGCACATGTCTGACAGTTGGAGCTGGCTTTGGTTGGGATGCTAGCTGGAGCAGTCACCTGGGACACCTCCATGCACGAAGACTCACTATGTGGCCTGGACTTCTTCACAACATGGCAGCCAGGTTCTAAGGGTGAGTGTCCCTACAGAGTGAAAGTCAGAAGCTATTTAGAAACCACACAACAGTTTCCCTATATTCTGTCCCCAAAGAACCAGTTACTGAGGTCAGCATATATTTAAGGGGAGGAAATTTCATGGGAGAAATGTCAAAGACTCTGTAGACATGTTTTAAAACCATCACATCCGCTAACGTTGTCTTACCAAATAATCCTTGTATCTGAAGAAGAGTAGTTCTTCCCAAGCCACCGTCACTGAAATTGGTTTGTTTTTGTTGAGTATATATTCTCTTATTTTGTCGAGAGTCATAATACCTCCTTGGTCAGGTTTATTGCTAAATATTTTATTTTTTGGATGAAATTTTTAAAATGATTGTTTTTTAACTTTCTTTTTCTGATATTTTAGTATTAGTGTAAAGAAGTGTAACTGATTTCTTTATGTTAATCTTGTATCCTGCTACATTGTTGAATTCTTTTATCAGTTCTAGTAGTTTTTGCGTGAAGCCTTTAGGGTTTTCTGTACATGGTATCGTGTCATTCACATATAGTGACAATTTTATCTTTTCACTTCCAATTTGGAAACTTTTTATTCATTTTTCTTCTCTGATTGCTATGGCTAGGGCTGACAATACTATGTTGAATAGAAGTGGTGAGAGTGGGAGTCCTTTTTCCAGATTCTAGCAGGAAGGCTTTCAACTCATCATCATTGGGTATTATTTTGGCTGTGGGTTTGTCATAAATTAGTGTTCTTCTGTATCACTTTGTTGTTCATTCCTTCTAGTGTTTTTTTTAAAATTTCATTTATTGAATTCTTCATTTCTGATTGGGTATTTTTTATATTTTCTTGTTAAAATTTTACTGTATTCATTTATTCTTTCACTTAATTCAGTTAACTTTCCTATTACCAATGCTTTGAATTCTTTATCTGGTAAATTGTTTATTTCTGTTTTATTATTTACTTTTTAAAGAATTTTCTTT